TTTATTCTGATTAAATTTAAGCTCCATGTTGTGCATGGATGTTGCCCCTGTTAGTACTTTTGGTGTGCATAGCTAAGGATATATATACATATATATATATATATATATATATATATATATATATATATATATATATATATATATATATATATATATATATATATATATATGTATATATATATATATATATATATATATATATATATATAAACATCTATCATATCGTATGTTAAATTAAAATGAACGCTTACCTTGTTTAGTCTACCAACATTTGATATATTTTTGCATTACTGCATTTTTCTTTTGCTTCTAAATTTTATAATGAAATTTTATTAAAGTCCAATTAACTATCAATTTTGAGTTCTGTCCACCAAGTCCCTGGTACAAGTTAAAATTTTACCTGGAACAAGATAAAATTTTATTAAAGTCCGAGAAATTTTATTAAAGTCATAAGAATCAATGCCAGGTGCTCTGACACTTATGCTCTACCATCTCCCCTACTCAACAATACTGAACTTGAAATTATCTACAGCTACAAATACTGCTCAATGAGAATCTTGATTTGAATGAACAATGGATAAAAGTGCACAACACTATAAAATCAGTGCCATTTCTACTTAAGCGCTACTTAAACTTTTGGTATTTAATAAGTAGTAAATGTAAGCATAAAATTATAATATATAAAGTATTATGCATTTTTTTCTAGCTCTTTCTAGATCTCGGAGGGCTTCTTTTATGGGACCATTACAAATACAATGAATTTTGTTCTGAAAACCTATATTATAATTTTTTACTAATTATATTTTCAATTACATTTTACGATTTCTTATTTACACCTTTTATATTTTAAATTTCATCTTATGTTTCTTAATTACAACTTTTATCTTCTCAATTATATCTTGTATTTTTTAACTGCAACTTTCAAATTCTCAATTACATGTTGAATGGTGTTGAATAATCAAGAATGATATTAATATTTTTTCCAAATTTATTTGTAAATGCAATTAGTATGCCACACCTTAGAGGAAATAGGTTCCACACTAGAAAATGTTCCAAGGTCATGTCATACCTTTTGGAACCGCAATACTTTCAAAAAATAACATTTAAAAAAAAATGTTATGTGCAATAAAAATTGAATTAAATCATAAAGTTATTAATTAGACGTTAGAAGGCTCTAAAGATTAAACAGTGGCCGTATTCTCATCTCTCCGTTAAGCTTAACGGAGCGTTTGTCAAAAAGTTCTTTTTAACTTTAATTTAAAAAATTCTTTAAAAATATAAATTTTTAAATAAAATTGTTTTATTTTGGTATTAGTTTTAATTAATCAAGTTTAAATAAAGTTTTTGTCATTTCTTTACATAAAGATGTTGTAATAAAATTTTTGACAAACGCTCCGTTAAGCTTAACGGAGAGATGAGAATACGGCTGCAGATCATCAAGTTCAAATTAAACAATAATTACCTCAGCAATAAAATAATTAACTAATTCGTATTAGTTCTAAATTTTGGAGTTATTTCAGAATAATTAAAAACATTTTTTAAAAGTTTATTGTTATTCACGTTAGTGAAAAAAGTGTAAAAATAAAGTTTTTGATAAACATATTGAAAATGGGGATTAAAAAAAAAATTCCGAGAACCCAGATATTTCTAATCCCATTTATTTTGAGGCTGTCTACTAGGGTTGAGTGAAAATAATATTTTCACTATAATAATACAACTTTTCTCCCTAATTTTTATATTAGTTATAAAAAAACTAAAAAAACGAGACTGAAATGAGCCACATTGAACAAGAATTACCTCTTGCAGCAATTTTTGACTAATACTACTTATTATTGGTAGCGCAATTTTTACATTTTAAAAAATCTTTTAAGTAGAAGTTACAAAGTGAGAACATATTAGGTATATTTGCATTATCCATTTTTATTATGACCAAAATAATAACTTTTGTTTTAAAAAAGTTATTGAACTTTTTTGAAACATATTTAAAAATATATATATATATATTTCAATCGATAAAATTGAATGTTAGGTATAAAATTTAATAAAATACATACTCTACTCAAAGTTTCAATACAAACTGTATTTTTAAATGTTAGTAATAATATTTAGTTTTTAAATAGTATTATTATTTATAATTGATTAAAAAAGTAACTATAATATTATAGTGACTTAATCAATTATAAATAATATATTATAATATATAACTATTTAAAAACTAAATATTATTTTTTATATTTATTAAAAACTAAATTTATTATTATTTATTAAAGAATAAATATTATTATAATTATAAATATTATTATTATTTTGTATTAATATTTATATTAATTATTTATATTAATATTTTTATAATAACAATATTAAAATGATATTAATATACTAAAATAAAAATAAAATTATTAATATAACAATTTATATTAATATTATCATAATTATAAATATTATTATTTTTTATTATTTATTAAAAACTATTTATTATTATTTATTAAAAACTAAATATTATTATAATTATAAACATTTAAAAATACAGTTTGTATTATATATTAATATATAATTTATTTACTAAAAATATTATTTAATTAAATATGGTTTGTGTTGACATGTTATGTTTCTATGTGAAGTTTAATACTTTGGTATTAAATCTGGAAGATCTAAGCATTGACAGTAAAACGAGTATAAGATCAATTGACAAAGAAGTTACAGCAAAACTGCAGAATATCCAAAGAAACACAGAGCTCAATGATGCTGAGCCACTAGATTCTATTATTTTGAAGTACTGGGTGCGGCTGTTTTAAAGTACTGGCTACACACAGTTCTATAAAATGGTCAGCTATTGATGATAACACTATCATTATCATCTTCAAAGCAAGTGCTTGAATTAATGTAAATACTGGAAACAAGGATGGCGTGATTAGATAGATTTAGTTAGAACTTCAACGGTCCCTAAAATGAGTCACTTGTTTGATACATGCAAATGAGCTTCTGCTACGTCATTTGTTTGCAGATTTGGATGGACTAACATCTGGTCCTAGATACTACTCATGTTCTTCTGGAAAGTTACTCAAAACTTGTGAAATTTTAAAGGTTGTTAATTTTCAACCACTTGTACAAAGTGGCACTTAATCTGTCGATCCTGAAAAGCGCAGCCCTGGAAAACTGGCTCATTTTAGATGACTCACAATTCCAAACAGGATCCTCAGATTGTATATTTCTACCACCAATCCTTCATCAAATTTAGTAACAATAGCATCATACATTATACGCGTTTATGCCCCTATGTGGTTTATCATCAAGAAGGAGTCTTCTATCTTTAATGGAAGAAGGTATCTATGCATCAAAATTGTCAAAATACGGTACCTGCCAGATGCATTACGTAAGGTAGTAGACCGATTCATTCAAAGAAATTCATTCTTTGGTCATCAAGAAAATATTCTTATGGCAATTATATCAGATGAGCAGCTATTAATCCGAGAATTCGGTGTAAGGCGTATACAGAAAGCTAAAGCAGAAAGAAGTATAAATGCTAATCAAACTAGTGTGCGGACATTCGAAGTTCCTACTCTCAATTTTATGGCAAAGAATACTTGGGAGTTGATTGATTGGAGTAATACAAAGTGGAAAGAGCCACCACTAAGAATGCAACTCACTGATGAGAAATTGAAAGAAGCATAAGAGATTCACATTCAACTAAACTTTTGGAAAAGTTACCTTGCCACACGCAAGCGATAGAACGTTGTTTAAAGATGGCGACTGCTGTTTCTGCCTCGGTTTTTGGCGAAATGAAAAGAGATAGTATGATACGTTACCGCCTGCAATGAAGAAAAAGTATGCTAATATTTAACACCAATGCGCATTATAACACTATTTAATAATATTTTTGCATTATGTATGTTAATACTATGTAATAAATTCACATGTTCAACTTCTTTAAAATAACATGTTAATAAACTAGAAATAATGATTTCAAAAGGTCTACAAATCTACATACAAATACAAATCATTGCTTAGAATAAAAAATAGTAAAAATGGAAAATCTTTTTTGTATCAAAAACTTTAATAAAGCAATCAAAACTTACCACGTATATGATATACGTATATCAATAATATATATATATATATATATATATATATATATATATATATATATATATATATATATATATATATATATATATATATATATATATATATATATATATATATATATATATATATATATATATATATATATATATTATATATATATATATATATATATATATATATATATATATAATTCATCTGAACACGCAATACTCCAAATTAATCGCAGTATTACTAAATCTTTTGAAAATTCCTAATATACGGTATATTGGGAATTTTCAAAAGATTCAGCAATACTGCGATTAATTTGGAGTATTGCGTGTTTAGATGATTTTTCTTTTAATCCCTATTGATTGTCATATAGCATATTATTTAAAGTAAGGCGATAATAAATTACGTTATATAAAGTTATCTCTAAAACTTTAGAAAAAACAGACATTGGGCGATAATTTGTAACGCTAGTTATCCATCTATATTGAAAATTGGTGTGAGTTTGGCTATATTCATATGGTTTTGAAAAATTCCCTGTTTTATAAAACAATTTTAGTATATTTTAAAGGTTCATACGAGTCAATGACGTCATTACCATTTATATAACCGTGACTTATTTGACTTTTTATAATACTGTTTGAATTCCTCAAAGGATAATTCGAAAGAGGTTATACACGAAATTATTGGAAAATTATAATTATAGAATTTTATTAAAATAAAATGAGGTTATTAAAAAAAAAACTTAACAGCGCAAAAAATTATCAAAAGTATAAAAATTAAAACTTTATTTATTTTTCAATTATTTTAAGAAATAACTTTATTATGTGTCATTATTACTATTCCGTTTCAGAAATTTAAAAACTACTGCCCCCTTTTAGGCGGAGCCATCGATTTGGAGTTCCGCTCCGGGCCTTTCTCATTAACGGAAATTATATATTTATATTTATATAAAAAAAATGTTATCCTTAAAACACTAAAAGTTTCAAAAACAAATAGTTGCGTCAGTTGTTGAAATATAAATGAATAAGTTGAGTTTCGAGCATAGCTACTCAAACTTTTATTTACTATTTATTTCATAAAAGTCTTTTTATAAAAATAATTAAACTAGCTATGGAAGCTAAAAAAAAGTTTACCCGCGAGTGGGAACAACTGTTTCCAGATTCTAGTCCCCCTAATTTGTCCTTTGTCTTTACTTCAAAAGCTGCATACGATGAAGAATTATCAAGATCTGAGAAGAAAAAGTCAGAGTTAAAATATGAATTAAAAAAAGAAGAATTTATATATGAGTTTCTTTCTATGTTAAAAAATGACTTGAATTTTTTAAAATCTATTGAGAATCTTGAAAAATCTTTACCTTTGCTATCTGCTAGTGAACAATTACCAATTATAAATAGATTTGAAATACTTGAGGTAAATAGTGAAAGTTCTCCTGTAACATTTTCTAGTTTTCAAGTTCCAAAAACAGATTTAACAACACTTCTACCACATAAGTGTATTGGTGAAGATCTAAACAAAATTTCGAATAATCAAATTGATTTTGTTCAACCAACTGATGAGTTGAACAAAAATATTTATGAAGAAATAACTGATAATGAAAATAATGAAAAAGAACCGAATCTGATTTTTCCTAAGGAAGAAATATTGAATAACAGTGAAAGTAGTGATGACGAACATGTTTATACAAATTTGGACACTTTTTTGAACAAATCTTCGGAAAGTGTTAATGAAACACAGAGTCAATCATTAAATGACGATCAAGACCCTTATGAAAATGAACAGTTTCAGCCATTAATTGACAACAATAAGCATTTTGAAGATGAAGAGTTTCAGCCATTGATTGATCCTAAAAAACTTTATGAAAATATAAAACTAGAACATGTTGTTACTTTTAGTGAAAATGAAGAAACTGCAGATATTAATGAAAAACGTCAATGTCTTAAAAAACGCCATGGTTCTGAAGATCGTAAAGCTTTTTTGTTTTCAGATCAGCTTGATATTAAAGATGAAAGTAGTGAAAATACAAATGATGATGATCACATGTTGTTTACACCAACACAAAATGATGCTTTCATAACACCATCACCAGCACCATCAGTAATTATTAATTCTTTTGAAAAAGATCAAGAATACACAGAGATAGAAGATGATCCAGTATATATAAATATTAACCATATTAAATCTGCGCCAAGTGATGACAGTGGATCTGAGAATGATTCCAATTTGACTAATTTAAATAATATACCATCAACCTTATACCGAGAAATGACATCAGATGAGTATGCATCTTTGCAAACCTGGGTAGAAAGTGACGAGGAGTGTCATTCATTTGGCATGTTTTAGTTTTAAATAATTTTGAACTATAAGACCATTTCTAATCCAAATTATTTAGGAATAAGTTGTTTTAGTATTTTAGTGTTTAAATTAAGTGTTTTTTAAAATATAAACTTTTATCTAAATTGAAAAAGAAAAAAAAATTATCAAATAAATTAGATATATATATACTAACTAAAGTAATGGTAATCCAATTTAGACATACTCATATCAAATAAAGTAATAATAGAAAAAATTAAGTTTTCATACATAACATGAAGAATAAATAAAAAATAATCATAGCTCTAGATAGATTAAATTTAATATTTGGGAACATTTACAGACTGATTGGTTTTAGATTAGTCACACATGTATAGGACTCTAAAATAAATTGTTTTTAAATTATCATCATTTTATTTATACATTAGATGAAGAGGATTCTGATGACCTTCCAAAGAAACCATTTGAAAGAAAAAAAAATAAAGTTGGAATAAAACTTTCAAAATCAGAAGATAATCTTAATCGTAAAACAAGTGTACAAAAAAGAAAAGATTCAATAGGAGTACGTTATTTGGTTTATATATTTAAAGTTTTTAAATAATATAAATGGTAGGAAGGTTATTATTATATTTAATAAATTGATTTCTCTTCTTACAAATGATTAGTGTCAGTGTATATGTGTCTGTGTATGTTTTATTTTACTATTATGTTTTTTCATCCCAAAAAAGGGGCTGTGCATTAAGTATATCAACAATTTTTTGCAATTTTTACCTCTCTGCTTGTCAACAACTTCAAAACTTCCAGAAATCCCTATATAATTACTTTTTCTTAATAAGTTTAATTTTTTAAGTAATTAAATTTATTAAAAAGACATTGTTGGCATCAACTTTTCTTGACCTCCCCTCCATTTCCCTTGTCAACAATTGCCAAAAATTTTCAGACCCTCCTCCCTATTTTGTTGACACTTAATGGACAGCCTCAAAAGTTTTTAAAACTAAATTAAGTTTTTTTAAAACTAAATTAAAACTAAATTAAATTTTTTTTAAACTAAAGGTTTTATAAAACTAGTATTCTTGAAGTGTGAACAGAGAGTTAAAATAAAGAGTTAATAAAATACCGAATTTTTATTGAATTTTTTAAAAATGATTAGCTAGACATTGTTTCATTTTCAAAGATTTGTTCTTATCTATTTTTCTTTAATTACAGTTTTATTAGTGATTTTTTTTTTCCAGTGTGGCTGCAGATTATATTATTACTTATGCTTATTATCAAGTTTTAAATCTAATATAAACTAAATGTGATGACCTAAGAAATCTTTTTAATTATAATCTAAAATAATTTCATAGTTCAGGTATTAATGAAATAAAGTTACAACAATTGTATTAATGAGTTTTAATGATATATAATTTAAGATTACCTGGTATATTTAAGTATATTAAAAATGATATCATACCACCATTATTAATAATATAATATTATATATAATAGTTTATAATAACTCAGTACATTCAAATTTGTAATGGAGTGTTATACTTAAATTATTCAATTAAAGATACTATATTGATTGAAAATATTGATAAAGTCTTATTCTAAATTCAAATAGAAGTCTTGATAAATGTCATCTAAAAATATGTTTTTAAATTATATTAGTATTTAAAATAAGAAAAATACTATTTTATAAAATGAAAAAAAAACTTTTGGTCAAAAACAGGTTGTTTTTTTTTTTGCAAAAAAAAAAAAAAAAAAGGAACTACAATAGCAACATACATTATGCCAGGGGCAATATATATATATATATATATATATATATATATATATATATATATATATATATATATATATATATATATATATATATATATATATGTGTGTGTGTGTATATGTATATGTATAGAGCTTTCATGACACCCTTGGCATAGTATCAATTCGGCGCCCCTATAAGCATGCATTTTTTTAAATTAATAGCATGTACAAGTTAATAAAAGTGTTTTTATTTCTAATACTGTTAATTTACATACATATTTTCAAAAAAATCTGGATCTTATCTGAATTAAATAACACTTATTCAACACATTCATTAATTAGGATTATTTAACAGATTCTTTAAAATTAATGTTGAAAATTTTGCATCATAAAATTAGAATATATATAGATTGAAAAATAGGCTATAGACCCTTTGAGTATATTTAGTTATAAGAATTCCTAAATGTTCACATGTTTCCAGAAGGGAAAAATGTTCAACAACTTCAAACAATTAAGACACAAAATATCTTTCATAAAGTTGTCTTCTATTTCAAGCTTTAATTTTTGTAGGTTCTTGATCTTTTAACCAGATGAATGAGGATCTTAATGAAACAGTTTTTAAAATCTTAATTTTAAATTGAATTTGGTAGGGATTATTTTTTTCCAGATATTTCCAGAATTCTGGATAATTTTTTTAAATTTTAGTTTTTCCGGATATACAAAACATTTTCCATATATACAAGTTTAGGTATATATTTTTGTGGTATACATGTTTTTTAAGCTATTTTGCTCATCACTCATAAAAAAACAATTTTTTGGATTTTTAAAATATGACCTGGATAATCTATGATTTGTTGAATGAATCGACAATGCACAATGTTAGAGATATTCAATTCAAGCTTTTGTTTGGGGAACTCATGAAAAAGAAACTGCATTTTTTGCAATTTTGCTATCATCATTTGCTTTATGAAATCACGAAGAAAATTTATTTTATATCTCATCAATAAAAAAATTTATTTTATATCTCATCAATAAAAAAATTTATTTTATATCTCATCAATAAAAACTTTTTTCTTTTTTGTAATTAAAATCTCATGAATTTTTTTTTTTTTGTTGTTTTCTAGTGCTTCTAATACACCTCCTAACCCTCCCTCTCGGCGTCCTAACCCTCCCTCTCGGTGTCCCTGTGCATGATTTGTTCTTAATTAATTTAAATTTTTTAAAAGTTTTACAGTAATATACACTAAATTTAAGAAAATTTAAAAAAGTTTTTTTTGAGATGAAGTGAAAACATGGAAGTTATTTACTTCATCAAATTCAAAGGTACAAGCCATCAACTGATTACGAAAAGCATGTCTGTAGTTTAAGATAATTGTATTAAAAGAACATAAATAAATGCAATATGATTTAAACGATTTAACCTTTACTTTGATAAAGCATAAATGAAAGCATCCAATTAAAATATTTATACATGTGTAAAGAACATTCACCTCCTTGGTTGTATCAAAAATCATTGGTTAGGTAATTTTTACTTACGTTTTTGAAAAGAAAACCAAGAAAGTGCGATTAGAACCATATCATCAGCATAAGCCAACACATTCATGAAGATGCCACCTATATTACATCCGATGCGCAGGTTTGAGGTTAATGAGTTTAAGTGTTTAGAGGTAAACAAAATCCAGGTAACATTACCAAATTCAATAAAAAGATTTGAACACAAAAGACCTTTTATATAAAATCTTCAGCTATGTATAATGTGTGTGTGTTCACATATAAATACATATGAAGATATTCATACACAAACACCGCCAAATGTTTATATAAATGTAATTTTATAGTTTTTAGTAATATAGTTTTATATCAATATAGCCACATGTTATTTGCTCAAAGAGAATATTAAGACATATTAAAAGAGTTGAGAGTGCGAGTAGTTTTTCTACTAGATCCATATGTGGCATACAATTTATAGAAAATCAAAACCTAGAAATAAGCTATTAAATTTCAGATACTAGGTTGACATCAGTGGTGTACCTACGTAAATGGCATCCATGACAAACACAAATCTTATGCCCACCTCAGATAATAGATTGCTTCTGTTTTATTTTCTAAAAAACTACTTTAAATGGATAAAAAAGATACTTTAAATAGTTATTTAGTTACCTAAATGAGAAAATTAAATAACAAAGCAAACAATGAATTAAATTTTATTAACTTTAAAAGTGTTACATTTCAGTTAATGATTTACTAGTTGTAAAGAAATGCTATACTTTATGTAAATATAATTTACACTACCAAAACCAAAAATCATTGAGTAATAAAAAAAATTTGTAACCTTTTGGAGATAAAAGAGATGATTATTCAATATACTTATAAACTAAGTTATAAAACTAATAAACTGATTGCATAGAAAAACTGACCCCTGTATGTTTTACTTTATAATTATTCACAAGCTTTATAACTTACATTGTTGAATGGTTCAAAATTTAGTATAAGATTTTCAAAATTTTCTTCAAATTCAAAAAGTTTAAGATGACTTACCCCAGGATTTTTATGTTTTTGTCTTTTTTCTTTTTTCTTCAATTTTTAATCAGTTTTCTTCATATTTTTTTAAATTTTATTTTGACAAAATTTTCTTTGTATTCTTTTTGTTGCTCTTAAAGTTTTCAAGATCAGATGCACGATTATCTGAAGATGATATCCAACTTATAAATGCATCAAAAACGCGTAAAATGCTTGTGATGGATTTGTTTGATAACGAGAGACGTTACTGTGATTGTTTGGATATGCTAATGAAAGTAATGTTTTATTTTTATTTTTAATTTTTTATATATATATATATATATATATATATATATATATATATATATATATATATATATATATATATATATATATATATATATATATATATCAAGTTATTGTTTTTGTTAATTTAACAAAAAATTTTAGGACATTTTATGATGTCCTCAAAATTTTAGGAAAATATCTATCTATCTATCATCATCATCATAATCATCATCATCATCATCATCATCATCATCATCATCATCATCATCATCATCATCATCATCATCATCATCATCATCATCGTCATCATCATCATCATCATCATCGTCATCATCATCATCATTAGATGAATTTGTGTATAGAAACTCTACATTTTTATGGAAGATTCCTATTTCACAATGTTATAGTTTTTTCACATGTTATAGTTTTTGCATCAATAGCTCAGAAATTTTTTAGATTACATTCTTAGCATCAAAATAAATTAAAAATAAAAGAGTTTTTATCACGACACAAACATCACAAAATGTGATGTTTGTGTCATGTTTCTATATTTGTCGTTATCATGTTTTAATTTGCTATGAATCAGTTTAATTTTTATTTAAATATGTGGCTTATCTTAAAAGCACTAATCTTAAAAAACTAGGAAAGTAATTTACTTGTTTCACTAACACAAAAATCCACTGTTTTTGAAAAAAGAGAAAAAATATTTGGCTCTTTTTCTACTGTGTATTTGTAACTATTTTGACTAGCAAATGTTTTGTTGCAAAAATACCTCCGTTTTAAGTTAATGCAAAAGTTTACACACTTTTGCAAAATACATTACAAATGTTTTATTTTGTGAAAGATATTTTTTCCGAAATATTTTTGTGTCTTCTTTAATGATATGATGTTGTTATGTCAATTTATCTCATGAGGGTTTTGTTATAGCAATTTCTAATAAACGTATGGTATAGAAACACTGCAAAAATGTTGAGTTTCTATACAAATTTTCAAAAAAGAAACAAATAGCAACAAATAATTTGCTTTATTCATCAATCCAATTGATTTAACATTCTTTATATAAAATTAAATGTTGCTTCGATTAAAGTTTTGAAAAAAAAAATTATTTCACACATGCCAAGTAACATAGGACTGAGTGATATATCCTCTTTATTGTCACTGGTATAGATTCTTTACAAAAATGTTGCGTTTCTACACCAAAACTTTTTACATGAAATGTTTCCAAATTAATATTCAAATAAAAAGGTTTTGTGTAATCTAGTGAATGAATATTTTTTCTTTTCTTGATTTCTTCTTAAATCTATCTTAAATTTCTTCTTGATCTCTTCTTGATTTCTTCATAAATTAAATAAACGAACTTTATTGTTTCATTGTAATTACTACAAAGTGGTGTTGATTAAATTTAAGCATCGTCATCATCTGTATAGAAATCATACTCGCAAGTAATGTTTCTATGCAAAAAATCCTGTTTACTTGGTTTATCAGCATATTTATTGTATTGCAATAACAGTTTTACTCTTTATGTTGATTTTTTTTTCTATTACAAAATAAAAAGATATCTTTTATTAATTTATAAAATCTTTTGCCTAACTCACTGTAAATTGATTCAACAGCATTAGAAATTAGTTTACAATTCTCATCACTTGTTTAGAATTCCTTCTAACACATACGCATGCACACAGATTTTTCCTGAGTTTTAAAATCAACTAGTTTTGTTTATACACAAACAATTTCAAGTATAAAAAGTATAAAACTGTTATATACAAAAAGTATTCAATATAATATTGAAAACAAATAATTATTTTATATGCGATATAACAAAAAAACATAAAAGGTGTAAATTCCATTCGTTTCACATAAACTATCAATTAAATCTATGACTTAATTAAAGACTGATTGTCAGGTTTCCCAAACTCAGTGGTAGCTCTCAGAGTGGCTGATTAACAAAGCCATGTTACGCATGGATGTTGTACCTGTTCGTACTTTTAGTGTGCATTGTCGAGGCCACATTAGAGACCTTTGTTACGGCTTAGGGTTTATTAATAGTAATAAGGCAGTTGGTTGGACAATTAAATAGTGTACTGAGTACTATCTATGCTTTGAGTCAAGTTATTAAACAAATTTAAAAATGACTTTTTTTATTTTTTTTATTTTATATTTTGCTGTTAAAATAAATTACAGATGAATTTTACATGGTAAATATCAGTAAATAAAATGTTTTAAAAACAGACGGGGACTCAAAGAAGATATGGATGATGCAATATCACCTCAATATTTTCATAGAGCCCCTTAATATAATAAAATTTTGTCAAATAGAGTTGAAAATATAAAAGAAATAAAATAAAAATATATAAAATAAACTAAAGATATATTCATAAAGCAAATTATTTTTACAACTACAATTTATAAATACATACAAACAGGTCAGGGTAACAACATCCGTTTTTGCTATGTCATTGTTTTTGCAACAACATCTGAACAACATCCCAAATTTCATTGATGTATAATAACATCTGTCTAACAACATCTGAAATTTCATTGATGTATAATAACATCCTTGCAATTAAATCTGAAGATTTTTCGGATGTAACTACATCAAAAAAAAAAAATATTTAATAACGCATTATTTTAACCAGATGAAGTTACAAATCTGATTTTTTTTGGATGTAACTACATCTGCCAAAAAAATTATTAAAATGCATTATTTTAAGCATAATAATTTTTTTTTTTAATTTTTTGATAGACTGCTTGTCCAAACCAAACCCTTAAGTCGATGTAGCAGCACTCCATTGCGAGTCAGGCTGTTTGTCAGTTGATGTAGCAGCATTTATATAATATATTATTTTATATGTTACTTATATATGTAACTACATCCCAATTTGTTTTTAATAATACATTATTTTAACCAGATGTAGTTACACATCTGATTTTTTTTCGGATGTAACTATATCGGGGAAAAAAATAAATTTAAAAATGCATTATTTTAACCAGATGTAATTACACATGTAATTACAGATGTAATTATTTAATTTAATAATGCATTATTTTAGGCGGATGTATTTACACATCGAGAAAAACTCCCTAATGTTACATCTTTCTAAAGATGTTATTAGACATCAATGAAATTTTTTATGTTGTTAGACAGATGTTAATTCAGTAAAGAAAAAAAGCGGATGATCTTGGACAAAAATGTGTGGATTTCACTACTTCACAGATGTTGTTGGACAGATGAGAAGGAATTTGATTGATTTGTTTTTAAAAAATACTTTTCACTTACACTTTTCTCAAATCTGCAAATGAAATTAGCCAGAGTTAGATTATTGTTGTAATTATACATGAAAATTAGGTACTGATAAAAATATATTTCGTCTACATCCTTCACTTTCATATTTCTCATTAAGGATTTAGTGTGCTCCCCTCTTTTTTTCCTGAAAATAATTCTAGACACATGTTTTTGCAAACTAATTATTTTTTTTTAAGTTTTGTTGGTTGTGTACTACCCTATGTTATATTAGCATAGTTAATAAAACAAAGAATTAAAGAAAAGTATAATAACTTTGAACAAACTGTATGTACATATGGACAAACTTGGTACATCAGGCCAATGATTTTACTAACTTTTGATTGTAAATATTTAATATAGAGAAGCCAAGATAATTTATTGTCAACAAGTATTCCTAAAAACTTTATATAGTCTTCCTTTTTTTAAAATAGGGCTGGTAATTTAAGGGAAAAATTTTCTTCCTGCATTTTTTCATGAAATTAGGTATACTTTGTTTTCCAGCTTGCTGAAAAGCAGCATCTGCTATCTCTATTTTCAAAAATTCTGGAGACCAATCTGACTTATCCAACTAGCATCTCATTTGTCTTCTTCATATCATAAACAAGGGTTTTGAATTTTAATTAACTAACACTTAATCTGTAGTTTTGAATCTAATAACTCTAATAACTTTCTGATCATCAATGTGGACTTCAATCTCCTTGTTCTACATCTGATTTGCTAATAGTAAAAACCGATAGGTTTTATTGTGGGTTAGATAAATCTATCGCTCTTGTCATTTCTTAAGCTTTTGATAAAGTTTGGCATGCTGGTTTTCTCCATATGCTTCCTTCTTATGGTGTATCTAGTAACATCTTTAAAGTTATTGAATCCTTCCTTTCCAATTGTAGCATAAAAGTTGTCTTCGATGTACAGCACTCTTCTTCTTATTCTGTAACCTCAAGGGTTCTTCAAGGTTCAATCCTTAGCCCTATACTTTTATTTTTTTATATTTTTAATTTACATTACATTAACGATATTCCAGAAATTCTCACATATAAGGTGGCATTGTTTGCTGATGATACTAGAATTTATTTTTGTCTTGATAAAAAGCAAACACTATAATTGCTTGGTGGGGGCATTTGAGTTTGAAAAAGATATCACTTCTGCTACAGCATGGGGCTCACAATGGCTGGTAAACTTTAAGTCAGGTAAAGCCTAATTTTTTTCATCAAATTGTTATCTCAATAAATTAGATCTTCCTATATTTATGAACGGTAATGTACTCGATGAGTCTTTTCCCATTCATCTTTCAGGATTAACTTTTACTCACGATCATTTTTGGAAACCGTATATCGAATTCATTGCAAAAATAGAATTTTCAAAGGTTGCATATCTTTTTTAACTGGCGCCCCAGTTTGTTTCGGTGCCAAAAAAAAATAAAACAAGCTAAAAAAGCCCTGGAAACCATTTCATTGTGTGCTATCTCAGCAACAAAGACAGGGTGACAAATATTTTTGCCCAGGGATTTGTCTTGGCTGATGACGACAATTTGTGATGTTGTATGGTATAAAATGATGATATTGTATCTTAAAACATGTGAGAAAAGCATTATTCAATATTGGTGAAAATATATGTCAACCTAAGAAGTTGTTCTTAAGCAAGCCATTAATTAAAGATTTAGGCCATTTGAAGACAGCATTAATGTGCAAAATTTAGATTATTTTGCAAAAAAAATACTAATAACAT